TGGTAGATGGTAGAAGGGCAAAGAGACAAAAGGGGCCAAACTCACCCTTTTATAACAGCATGAATTCTACCCATGCAAGTGGAGCCCTCATGGACTAATCACCTCTTCAAGGTTCCACTTCTTAATAGTGTTAAAATGGCAATTAAATTGCAACATTTATTTTTGTCCAACCATAGCATCCGGGATGCTCTTTAAAAAATAACTTTGTGGGCCTTGGTGAGTCCCAGATACCAGTATTTTCATAAGAAACCCAGGCAATTCCAGAAGAGAAGGCCAGTGAACCTTACTTTGGGAAACATTGGTGAAAACATTCTGAAGTTGCTCCTATCTTCAAACAGCTTTCCTTCTATGCCTTTTTTTTTTCCAGTTACTATCTTCTCTGTCCTTGTCCTTCTTTCAAAACATTTACTTTTACTCCTACTTTTTAGTTCTAAACAGCAAAACTTCCTAACCAGGGCACCAGGGAAGCCTGGTATGCCACAGAATGGGTAATACCTGGACAGAGATGTTGATTCCTCCTGCCTCAGTCCCTGCTGGCCACCAGTGGCCTTGTCTCTTACCCCCTTGTGCTGAAAGAAGTTCATTTTCTATCTATGCCATGGCAAGCACAAGGCTGAGAAGCACTGCTTTAGAGAGCAAAGATCATTGCTTATTTCTTTATATATTACCCAGGACCTGGAATGCTTCCTGAGTCACAGGGGACTTCCTATGTCATACTTTCTGAATCATAGAGGAATAAATATTTGTTCAATGAATGAAAGAACAAATAGTTGGGAAAGGGTAGCCTATTTTAGCTAACTCTACTTCTTCAGTTTCCACTTGCTTTTTGCTTTTTGGTCCTCTGTTCAGCTGGCTCCACCCTCGCCACTCTGTTATAATTGCAGAAGAACAGAGGCTTTGGAGCCACAAAGACATGGATTCCAGTCCTGTTTCTGTTACCAGTTTTGTGCCTATTTCAGATGTCTATCGCTGCATTAAAAATTTGTCCCCAAACTTTATGGCTTAAAACACCACCATGTTATTACTCAGGATTTTGTGGGTGAGAAATTTGGTCAGAGCTCAGTGGGGATGGTTCACCCCTGCATCACTTAATTGTCTGCTGTGCTCATTTATGGGCTGGAAAATCTAAGTTCAAGAGACCGATGGCCTCACTTGCATGTGTGGGGTCTTGGGCTGGCTGTTGGCTGAGGCAACTGTTTTAGTCCTCTAGGGCTACTGCAACAAAACAGCATATACTGGGTGGCTTAAAGAATAGAAATTTATTTTGTCGCAGTTTGGAGGCTGGGAAGTTCAAGCTTAAGGTTGCAGCCGATTCGATATCTAGTGAGGGCTTTCTTCCTGGCCTGCAGAGAGCTGCCTTTTCACTGTTTCCTTATGTGGCAGAGAGACAGCAAACTCTGTAATGACTCTTTTTAATAATTTTTTTTTATTTCCACAGGTTATTGGGGAACAGAATAAACAGAATAAACTAAAGTGTTTGGTTACATGAGTAAGTTCTTTAGTGATGATTTGTGAGATTTTGGTGCACCCATCACCCAAGCAGTATACATTGCACCCTATTTGTAGTCTTTTATCCCTCACCCCCTTCCGCCACTTCTCCCTGAGTCCCCAGAGTCCTGTGTTACTCTTATGCCTTTGCCTCCTCATACCTTAGCTCCCACTTGTGAGTGAGAACATATCATGTTTGGTTTTCCATTCCTGAGTTACTTCACTTAGAATAGTAGTCTCCAGTCTTATCCAGGTTGGCGTGAATGCCATGAACTCTTTTCTTTTTATGGCTGAGTAGTATTCCCATATATATATACATATACATATATGGGAATACTATATAATATATATATATACATATACATATATGGGAATACTATATAATATATATATATACATATACATATATGGGAATACTATATTATATATATATATATACATATACATATATGGGAATACTATATTTTATATATATATATATATATACTTCCACACATTATGTTGATTAAAGTGCGTCACAAAGCAGGCCCAAATTCAAGAAGAAGGGGAATAGACTGTACTTCTTGATAGGAAGAGTGGTAAAATCACACTCCAAAAGGACATATGGAATGGGAGGGATGGCTCTGGCTGTCTTTGGAAACACTCTATCAATTTGTCCTTGAAAAAATTATTTAGCTGCCTGGTTTTAATTTATTTGCTTGTAAAATAGGAAATAATAGCATCAACCACTTTGAGCTGTTGTAAGTAATAGATTAAGAAAGTGTGTTTAGCGCTTAAGTACGTTTTAGTAGAAACATAACAGAAACAACAAAAACATATTGGTTGAGCCCATACTACGTGGCAGTACTACTTTAAGCAGTTTAAATATATTGCTTTATGTGTCTGGGTGCAGTGGCTCAAGCCTGTAATCTCAGCACTTTGGGAAGCCAAGGCAGGTAGATCACAAGGTCGGGAGTTTGAGACCAGCCTAGCCAACATGGTGAAACTCTGTCTCTATTAAAAATACAAAAATTAGCTAGGTGTGGTGGGGGGCACCTGTAATCCCAGCCACTTGGGAAGCCGAGGCAAGAGAATCATTTGAACCCAGGAGGTGGAGGTTGTAGTCAGCTGAGAGCACACCATTGCACTCCAGCTTATGCAACAAGGCAGGACTCCAAAAAAGATATATATCTGTTTATGTAATCTTTATAACAGTCCAAAGGTACACATTATCCATGAGATAAGATGAGAAACCCTAGGCACAAAATGTTAATTTGTACAAGGTTGGTTGCATAGTAACTAGTCTGTCTAAATCTTGAATGTCTTACTATCTGCTTTATCCAAAGGACACTTTTTAGTTTTTTCTTTTTAAACTATGTTTGAAAGTTTACAGTTGATGTTGTTGATCACTCCTCTACCAATATTCCTCCTCCTGTGACCACTATGACTCCCCTCTGTACGATGTTTCCTCCTTCTCTGATTGCTACCTTCCAATCTCTTCTTTCATTTTAACTCTTCTTTCTTGAAAGAGCAATCCAATGTGGCAACTCAGTTTCTACCCAAATGCAGGGTTTGGGTCCAAGATTCACCAACAAAGGAAGGATTTCCCAAGCACAGGCCGTTTTTGACCACTGCGGTGATGTGGAGAAGATGGAGGCTCTATGTCAGAACTAAAATCAAATAAATAAACACCTCCTGGGAAAGACGCTGAAGCTTACCTGGGCTTCATAGATCCCAGTTAGTTTTCAACTCTTCTTTCTTGAAAGAACTCTCCAATGTGGCAACTCAGTTTCTACCTTTCCAATGATGGTTGCCAGTGTCCTCTCCCTCCTAAATTCTAGGCTTGCATTTCTAAGTGTTATTAGGGTCTGAGCACATATGATCCAGGTAAGGTTTTGAAGCATTTGTTTCTTTCACTTCTTATTCCATTTGTTGCAATCTTGTCACTTAATACTTGAAATGTTTTTCAAATTTGGATGTTTCTAGCAATCAGCTAATGCCTTTGGCCTGGTTTAGGCCTTCATCATCTTTTACCTGGTTTATAAAAGTCATTTTTTAACTTGTTGCCTTCAGTTCCTCTATGACATAATGGTATTAGTGTAATATTTCTACATGCTTTAACATATATACCTTCTCACCATTGCTATGTGTCCCCCCTCCAGCATCACACTATCTCTATTGTCACCTTCTCTGTTCATGACCTTTTTCTCCTTCTCTAAGGGTTTCCCCCTTTTAAGAAACAGCATCTGCTCAACCTCCCCCACAGTCTTCCTTTAAACTGTTTTCTCTTCCCTCTGCTTGTCTCTTTCCAACTCTCTGGAGGCATCTTTACGTTTTCAACTTTGCATTTTCCCTGCCATTCCCATATAAGTTCCCTGAAGCCCTAGTACCATTAACAGCAGGATTTCAAAGCTTGCCTGTTGCATCACATTCTATGGGATCTCAAATTACCTTTCTGTGCAATATGAATTGTTGTGGGATATCCGTAAAGACTGAACAACCTCATGGCTAAGAATGACAGTTACCAGTTCTAGAGCTCCTACTCTAATTGTTCTAGAATGGGGCACTGGACACCAATATTATAAAAAAGACAAAAGAAGAAACGTTAAAAAAAAAGAAAGAAAAAGAAAATCAAACCTACCTTCATCATATATGAATTCGAAGAACATCTGAGTCCTCAGCCCCCCGTTTTTCATTGGTAAAATGAGGACAACAATTACACAGACCTTGTCGAGCTATGTACAGAATTAAATAAGATTATGTATCTAAAATGCTTGTGGCACAGTGACACACACACACACACACACACACACACACACTCAGTACTTTGTGGTTATTTCTAGGCTTTATTGCTTGAAAGGCTGAAAAGATGGGTGGATGAGAGGTGCCCCGAGATTCCTACCAAGATTCTGTGATACTCCTCCTTGGGTGCTGAAGACACATTGTCAATGTTTGGATTTCCAAATGGTTGCTTAGAAAACTAACTGGGATCTATGAAGCCCAGGTAAGCTTCAGCGTCTTCCCCAGGAGTGGTTTATTTATTTGATTTTAGTTCTGACATAGAGCCTCCACCTTCTCCAAATCACCTGAGTGGTCGAAAAGGGCCTGTGCTTGGGAAATCCTTCCTTTGTTGGAGAATCTTGGACCCAAACCCTGCATTTGGGCATTTGACACCCGTAGGCCCATGGTTCTTGCCCAGGCTGCTCTTTCCAAGTTCAAAGCAGGGACTCTGTTCTGCGCATCCGGCGGGTGTGCCCAGATTGCAACCTTCGCACCAGGCATCCAAGAACGTGCTTTGGACACACGCAGGGTGGTGGGAGCGGGTGCTTGGATTGCATCTGGGCGGAGGGGTGGAGTAGCTAGAGCGCCCGGAGCGCGCACCCCGCTCGCACTCCCCAAGCTGGGGCGCGGCCGCTCTGAGTGCGAGGTCCCAAGCCAAGTACCCCGCTCTGCCAGGAGCTGTGGAGTACCCCAGGTCCCCGGCTGGGGCCGCCGCGATCCTACCCCGCAGCGCGCACCCCTGACCCGGCCCCGCCCCCCGGCGACCGCGAGTAGCGGGCGGAGCGCAAGCAGAGAGGAGCGCTGGGCTGTGCGGCACCGCCTCTCCTCGGTGCCGGGGGAGGGAAGGAGGGACCGACCGGGAGAGAGAGGGAGCCCAACCGACCGGCTGGCGAAGAGCTGCATGCAACCGGTGGGAGGCCGGGCCGGTTGGGGCTGGCGCTGGGGCTCGGGCTCGGACCGTTTCCCCGCACGTCCCTGGCGGTGAGCGCGGACGGCCCGGAGGCGGCGGCTCTGAGCTGGCAGGCGGAGGGCTGTCTCCCGCGCCCGCCTGCCCGGCGCGGTCCGAGGATGCGGGGGGGCGATGCCCGGGGCCAGGGACGCGCTCTGTCACCAGGCGCTGCAGCTGCTGGCCGAGCTCTGTGCCCGTGGGGCCCTGGAGCACGACAGCTGCCAGGATTTCATCTACCACCTGCGGGACCGTACCAGACCCCGGCTCCGCGACCCAGGTGAGTGCCGCCACCGCCGCCTGCAGGGACCTACGGGCCCTGGGCTGGGACTTGGGGCCGCACCGGGGCCTGAGGCAGAAGAGCTACGCGGACTGGGAGAGGGCGGGGGGCGGCCACTGAGACAGGGGAGGGATCAAGAACCAGCGCACTGTGGCCTGATGCTGGAACCAGGCGGGGACGCTGGCGGTGGCTGCTGCCCGAAGGCCGAGTCCGGGTCTGCTGGGGCAGGGTTGGAGGGACCACGCCCGCCACCTGCGCTCCCACTGCCAGGGCTCCTGGGGGCGGCTCCCGAGCTCCAAGCTACGCGCTTCACTTCCTGGGCTCTGCACTCAGAGCGAGGAGAGGCCGCGGCGGCCTCGGAGCCGTGGGAAGGGGGACGAGGCCGAAGGAAACTCTAGGAAGTTGGGAGTTGAGGACGGCCGGGGGCTGGGGTTGAATCCCACTGGGTGCTGCTCATCCTTGCTCCTGAGCGTCTAGTTCCTTTCCTTGGTGTGGGGTGAGAAGGGCGGGAAGCGATCCCGCGTTGGGCAGGGTACAGGGAGCTTCTGGTCCTGGGCAGACGGGCCTGAACCCTTTCCTGGCGGGTCGCACGGCGCGGAGGTGACCTGGGCCTGGGCCCTAGGCTCGACCAGCGGTTACCGCCAGCCACACTCGGGGCGGTGGGCTCCTAGGTCCTGGCTTGTGCACCTGTAGTTATTCCTAGTGAAAGTTGCAAAGCTCCTAACTTTGGAAAGTTCATTTATATTGGCATTTAACCAATTAAGGTTGGAGGAGGGAGTTTTAGTGGAGCCATTTGCTTTTCCCGAGGTCTCTGGATCTCCCAGGTCGTCTCATCCACTACTGGAAATGCAATTCCTTCCAATGTTTGCTTGAGATGTTTCTCACCTGGAGAAATAGTTTTCTCAAATATTCTCTCAACCTGAGTACTTACCAAAAAAGCATATTGTGGTTGAATTGTTAAAAATGGGATGAGAAAATGGCCTTTCTCTTGATATTGCTACGTATAAATACTGAAAATGAGCTATTGCCAAGCAAATTATCATGTACGAGTTGAAACCAATTTATTATATAAAAATCCATTTATCCAAAAGATAAATTAAAGAATTATTTGGTTTATAAAGAGTGTCATACTGAACCAGACTTAAATATTATATGCTTGATATATTTAAGATGGGTATGTGGAGTGAAGTCATCTGCTAAAATTTAAAAGTTTATATTAGATATTCTCTACTCAAGGCTTTTTATTTTTCCTATGGAAAAAGAAAAAAGGTTGTTTTCCATTTCCGGTGGTTATATTAACTAAGTTTATCAAATGATCACTGATATATTACTTCAAAGTGGAGAACTGAGTAGAGAAATACTGATCCCAGTGATTTCCAGGGAGGTTTAATGTTCAGCCTATGTGTGCCTCATTGCTGGATGGTATGTGCTGAATAAACCACAGTCCCTTATCTCACAAGACCCAGGAAGATGTGTTAAGTCGGGGAAGTGGTCCTTAAGTGTCAGGAGCAAGACAATGATTTTATGTGTTTTACCCAAAGCAAGTGTTAGTGTTGAAACATCTCACTTTCTTGTCTGTGACTGGACCACAAGTTCTCCTTGTTATCCCACATAAGCAGTTGTCTTTGGCTTTACAAGAGAAGATGGATGATGCCTATCTCTAGATCACATCTTTTGGCCAGTTTTCTGCCTCTGCTCCTTTCAATTCAGGGCTGGATCCTGTGTTCTCAGGTTCTCTTCAGCCCCTACACCAGGCATCTGCAGAGACAGAGTCAGTAAGAGGACTTCTTATGAGAGAAAATCTGAGTCCTTGGCTGAGGAATAGTTATAGATAGGAGTCGACTTTGCTGCTCCGAGTTCCTGATAGCAGTGCTCTGCTTTCTTAAACTAGGACACAAGGGTTTTGAAGTAGCCCCATGCCCCTCTGGCCCTTTGGTTTGTGTCGGAAAGTAGCCAGCTCATGAGAAAAGGGGTGGGGGACTTCTAGTGCAAGGTGAGAGGAAATGAGACCAAAGATTACATCTAAAGTGCACCCTTTCCTTCAGGACACTTCTCTCTTCATTTCCAAATCTCCCTTTATTTCCCTCCTTACTTCACTTGCCGACATTAATTCTTACATCAGATGCATTTGTCTTTATCCCTCTGAAGCAAGAGTGGTTTTAATCTCTGAACCCTGAAAGCTGAATAGCTGGGAAGCTGCACCACACAACACCATGTGAATAATGTCCCTGCTATTGACAGTGTGAACCAGAAAACCATGCACAGCAGCCCTGAGACATGGATTCCTAGAGAGAGTCATCTCTGTAAATGAATGACTTCTTTTTCTGGAAAGGAATCCACCTGAATGCCATGTTCCAACTTTCTCTGTCATTGTCCATTCACGGCCACCCTGTGATAGCTAGGTTTTCTCAAACTCAGCTAAGAACTTTGGTTATAAAAGGAGAAAAAAGATATAATTTCATGTGGACAGCAGAGTGACCCTGCATCTAGGATGCTGATTCATTTTTTCAGAGGTGTGTAAAGACTGGGGCATAGACCAGCAGGCCTGAGCCATCAGAAGAATTCTTTTTTGTCCAGTTGTTTATAGTGTCCTGCCGGGGGAGTACAGCACTGAGATTTCCCTGACTTGTTGTTCACAGAGGACTTGATGCAATTGTGATTTAAAAATATAAGCCTAAGTCACAATTGGAACTGGAGTGCCTCACCCAGTTTGTCATCTGTACAAACTTGTGGAAAGTAAAGTGCTGAGTGTGAGCACTTTACTCATAGAGAGCAATTAGAATGCTCTGTTGGTTGCCTTTATGGTGTTTTATATGTTAATGAGGTGGGGTATAAACTTGCAGACCTCAGAGACTAGCCTTTAAGGTAGAGGGAACAGCAAGTGCAAAGGCCCTGAGGCAGGAGCATTATTGATATGATGCTGGAAATGGTGACTTCAGAGGTGGCTAGAGAAGTGTTAAAGAGATGGAGAGTGAAAAGAAATATGGTCAAGAGTTAAGGAGCATGGATCATGCAGTGTCTTTTAAACCATTATAAAGACTTTGGTTTTTCCTCAGAATGAGACATAAAGCCATTAGAAGGTGTTGAGCAGAGAAGTGACAACACTTTGACTGCCATATTGAAGAGCAAGGGTGAAGTCAGAGAAACCTCTTAGGAAGCTATTTCAGAAATCCAGACAGAGGTGATAGTGATTTCAACAGGGATAATGGTAATGGAGGTAATGAGAAGTAATTGGATGGATGATGAACACAATTGGAAGGTGCCGCTGCTAGTGATTATTGACGGAAGAGATGCGAAAGGTAAGAGAAGGGCAATTAAGGATGTTTCAAAGACTTTTTGACCTAAAAAGTTCTTTGTACAAGCAGAAGTCTTCAGGAAGAAGGTAGGGATGAGGAGGAAAATCATGAGGCTTGTTTTTTATTTTATTTTAACTTTTTGTAACACGTTAAGTGTGTGATGTCTCTTCAGATAGCCAAGCTGTTTTATAGTTGAACAGTGACCTGAAGTATGACTCCTCTTTAACATTAATTGCTCTATGTTCATATTTTATAACTAGAGACTTTGCTGTCAAAAAGATTAATTGGCTGTAGAACAGCATGTATTGTTAGAAGGTTTTCCTTGTAGGGAATTATGTCTCTTAAATTTCTACCCATGGATCTTGATTATACTTTCTTGGGTCAAAAAGCATTAGTCTTATCTCTCTTCTCCATGGTACACCTTTGGCTATTAGGAGGTAAACTATCTTAACTGCTCTAGATTTGTTCTTTCCAAGGAGCAGAAAGGAAGATTGGATCATATGATGTCTAGGTTTTAAACATTTTTTTTATCATTTTGTTTTTAAGTCTTTTCTTCTGTAGAGTGCCAAGCATGCCTGTGCCAAGCACTTCATGTAGGTCATTTCACTAGTCCTCATAAGTCTTCGAAGCACTTATCTGTGTTCAACCAGCAGCAGCAGCAGCTTCTGGGAGCTTGTTGGACTTGGAGAATCTCAGTTCTATCCCAGACCCACTGAATGTGGATCTGTATATTGACAGGATCCTCAGGTGAGAGTTGTATGCACATTAAAGTTTAAGAAGCGTGGCTAAAAGTGATTGATACTTGTGAGTATACTGAAGTGCACAGAAATAAACTAGCCCAGGGCCATGGATTCCATTTAAAAGCATTGGGTCTAAGTCAAAGCAGCTTCTTAGGCAGTCACATCGCATATATGGAAAACTGGGGAGTTATTGTCAATGTAAATTTTCTAGGTATTTTTTATAATAGCCACCCTTAGACCTACTTTCTCTCTTCTGTACTTGTATAATGGATTTAATTCCCAAGTGCAGGTCACATTCTATGTAGTTATAAAGATTCAGCTTAGTATTTTGGTTATAAATACTGTGATCCAGGATACTGGTTTTCCATTCATGTTCCAACTCCATATTCTGGAGATTTTTCTGCATGCTCTCTGTGTCTGTACCCAAGGTCTAGAAAATGTTTAGCAGGTCAGGGTGTGAAGCAGAGCCTTAGGACTCATCGTTAGTGACTCTTCTCTCCACATAAATATTACTCCATTCAGGAAAAGCTTTTTCTAGATCAGTGGTTTTCAACTTTGGCTTGGGAATACTTAGGGAGCTGGAACAAACACAAAAGAAAAAAAAACAAAAAACTACCAATGACTGGGCGGCACCCTAGACCAGTTTTAAATCACAATCTCTGGGAAATGGGCCTGGTATCAGTATTTTTTAAAAACTCATCTATTGTTTATAATGTGCAGCCAAGTAGAGGACAACTTTTGAGCCCATTGGGCAAAAGATGCATCCACCTAACTCTTCTTAGCTCAGCTCACATTTGTTTCTTGTAAAATTAGAAAAGATCGTATCAAAAACCAGGGACCTTGCCTGTTATCCTGTATAGCTAATACCCATATAAACTGATTCTTAACTTTCTTTTCACAACATTATCCCAAATGTTTATTTTGAGGGCTCTTTGAACATATGGTAAGGCTCTGTTATGTCCAC